AAAACCCCAATCCTGCCCCCATTCCCACACCCAGACCCCCCAAAAACCCCAATCCTGCCCCCCATTCCCATCCCACCCCTCTCCCCCCACATCCCAGCAGGAATTCCAGCAGAAAAAGCCACACCAGCCTCGTGTTGAGTGCAAAAAATAAATATAAAATTTATTAAAACACCCACAATATTTTAAAGATATCAGGAATAATACAGCCCACGGCCCCGCGGCCGCGCCAACTCAGAATAAAATACAAATTAAAAAAGAAAAAAAAGAACAAAAACAACAACAGAACAAAAAAAAAAAGAAAAAAAATAAACAAAACCAAAACCAGAGGGGAGGGGGAGGATCCAAACCTGCAATTTTTAGGCATCCTAAAAAATAAATTTACCGAAACACTGGGGGAAGGGGGAAAAGAAAAGGTTAAGGGGGGGAAAAAAACAACACAAAGAAGGGGTGGGAAAAGAAAAAGGGAAAATTATACAAAATAAAATTATCAGCATAAATTTACTGTCCTAGAAGTATCTACAGTTTAATACACATTAATCCTATTGCCTTGAGACATGGGAAAAAAAATCTACCGGTCCTCAATCCGCCCCGGAAAAAAACTTCATTTCAAGTAACCACAGTCCCGAGCCGACCAAGAAATCTTCAAGTGTGAATTTTTCGGAGCCGCCGGGACAAGGCTGCGGTGTCTCCCGGCTCCAGCTGCCGCCGTCCCAGCTCCCCATCTCCATTATCCCAAAAAAAAGCCCAAAAAACGCCCAAACGCCCTCCCCGCCTCCGACCAAATTCCCGAATCCGAGAAGAAACGGCGCTCGGTTTTTTAAATTTGGAATTTTCACCTCTTTATTCCTGCGCGCTGCGGTGTAAATAAAATGAAATGAAATAAAGTGAAATAAAATGAAATAAAATGAAATAAAGTAAAGTAAAATAAAGTGAAGTAAAGTAAAATAAAATAAAAAATAAAATATAAAATAAAAAATAAAATAAAATAAATAAAATAAAGTAAAGTAAAATAAAATAAAATAAAAAATAAAATATAAAATAAAATAATAAAATAAAATTAAATTAAATATAAAATAAAAAATAAAATAAAATAAATAAAATAAAGTAAAGTAAAATAAAATAAAAATAAAATAAAAATATAAAATAAAATAAAATAAAATAAAATATAAAATAAAAAATAAAATAAAATAAATAAAATAAAGTAAAGTAAAATAAAATAAAAATAAAATAAAAATATAAAATAAAATAAAATAAAATAAAAAATAAAATATAAAATAAAATAAAATAAAATAAAGTAAAAAAAAATAAAATTAAAATAAAATAAAATAAAATATAAAATAAAATATAAAATAAAATAAAATATAAAATAAAATAAAATAAAATAAAAAATAAAATATAAAATAAAATAAAATAAAATAAAATATAAAATAAAATAAAATTAAATTAAAATAAAATAAAATATAAAATAAAATATAAAATAAAATAAAATAAAATATAAAATAAAATAAAATAAAATATAAAATAAGATAAAATAATATAAAATAAAATAAGATAAAATAAAATATAAAATAAAATAAAATATAAAATAAAATAAAATAAAATAAAATAAAATAAAAAATAAAATAAGATAAAATAAAATAAAATAATAAAATAAAATAAAATAAAATTTTAAAAAATCCCACAAAAGAAAAAAAAAACAACAAAAAAAAACACCACACAAAAAAACCAAAAACCAAAACCTCCTCGCTCCCAGAAACAAAATGAGGCTGAAATTCCGGCGGTTTCATAAATCCCTGAAGGATGCGGAGAAATGAGGAAAAACCCGGGCGGAAAGGGGGGAAAAAGAGGAGGGTGGGAAATGAAGAGGGGGAAATGAAGGAGGAAACACCGCTGCGAAAGGATCCCTGATTTCGGAAAAGCTTCACCCCGGACTCGCTGCAGGGGGCTGGGGGCGCTGAGGTATTTGCCTGGGGGGGCGCGGGGGGAGGAAGTAGCACCAATGAACCCCAAAAAAATGTAAAATAAACCCAATAAAAGGGGGGGAAGAGGAAAAGCCGGGCGGAAGCGGGACGGGAGAGGCGGGGAGGGATGAGAGCGAGGAGCTGCGGGAGCTGAGCCTGGACAGTGCGCGGATGGACACGGGATGGACACGGGATGGACATGGGATGGACACGGGATGGACACGGGATGGACATGGGATGGACACGGGATGGACACGGGATGGACATGGGATGGACACGGGATGGACACGGGATGGACATGGGATGGACACGGGATGGACACGGGATGGACATGGGATGGACACGGGATGGACACGGGATGGACATGGGATGGACACGGGATGGACACGGGATGGACATGGGATGGACACGGGATGGACACGGGATGGACATGGGATGGACACGGGATGGACACGGGATGGACATGGGATGGACACGGGATGGACACGGGATGGACATGGGATGGACACGGGATGGACACGGGATGGACATGGGATGGACACGGGATGGACACGGGATGGACATGGGATGGACACGGGATGGACACGGGATGGACATGGGATGGACACGGGATGGACACGGGATGGACATGGGATGGACACGGGATGGACACGGGATGGACATGGGATGGACACGGGATGGACACGGGATGGACATGGGATGGACACGGGATGGACACGGGATGGACATGGGATGGACACGGGATGGACACGGGATGGACATGGGATGGACACGGGATGGACACGGGATGGACATGGGATGGACACGGGATGGACACGGGATGGACATGGGATGGACACGGGATGGACACGGGATGGACATGGGATGGACACGGGATGGACACGGGATGGACATGGGATGGACACGGGATGGACACGGGATGGACATGGGATGGACACGGGATGGACACGGGATGGACATGGGATGGACACGGGATGGACACGGGATGGACATGGGATGGACACGGGATGGACACGGGATGGACATGGGATGGACACGGGATGGACACGGGATGGACATGGGATGGACACGGGATGGACACGGGATGGACATGGGATGGACACGGGATGGACACGGGATGGACATGGGATGGACACGGGATGGACACGGGATGGACATGGGATGGACACGGGATGGACACGGGATGGACATGGGATGGACACGGGATGGACACGGGATGGACATGGGATGGACACGGGATGGACACGGGATGGACATGGGATGGACACGGGATGGACACGGGATGGACATGGGATGGACACGGGATGGACACGGGATGGACATGGGATGGACACGGGATGGACACGGGATGGACATGGGATGGACACGGGATGGACACGGGATGGACATGGGATGGACACGGGATGGACACGGGATGGACATGGGATGGACACGGGATGGACACGGGATGGACATGGGATGGACACGGGATGGACACGGGATGGACATGGGATGGACACGGGATGGACACGGGATGGACACGGGATGGACACGGGGATGGACAAGGGATGGACACGGGGATGGACACAGTGATGGACATGGGGATGGACATGGGATGGACATGGGGATGGACATGGGGATGGACATGAGCTGTACATGAGCTGGACACGAGCTGGACATAGGATGGACATGGGGATGACCACAGCGATGGACACAGCGATGTACACAGTGATGGACATGGGATGGACACAGTGATGGACACAGCGATGGACACAGTGATGGACATGGGATGGACACAGTGATGGACATAGTGATGGACACGGGGATGGACATGGGATGGACACGGTGCTGAGCACTGGGAGCTCTGGGTTGGTGCTGTAGGGGAACGGTGCCAGGAGTGGGCCTGGCCAGGCGGTGCCGGGGGTGCCCAGTGCCTGAGCAGCACCGAGCTGTGTGCTGTGCTCTGCAGGGTGGGCAACCACCGTGTCCATGCTCCATGTCCAACCACCGTGTCCATGTCCATGTCCATGTCCAACCACCATGTCCATGTCCATGTCCAACCACCATGTCCATGTCCAACCACTATGTCCATGTCCATGTCCATGTCCAACCACCATGTCCATGTCCAACCACTATGTCCATGTCCATGTCCAACCACCGTGTCCATGTCCAACCACCATGTCCATGTCCAACCACTGTGTCCATGTCCATGTCCATGCCCAACCACCATGTCCATGCTCCATGTCCATGTCCAACCACCATGTCCATGTCCATGTCCAACCACTGTGTCTATGTCCATGTCCAACCACCATGTCCATGTCCATTTCCAACCACCGTGTCCACACGCCGTGTCCAAGCCCCACGGCCAAGCACTGTGTCCAGGGCGTGTGGCCGCGTGCCATGTCCAGCCCCGTGCCTGAGCACCACCATTGAGCACCGTGCTCAAGCACCACATCCACAACACATGGTCAATCACATCGTGGCCCAGCACCATGGCCACGGCCCATGTCCATGAACCACGGCTGAGCACCGAGTCCAGGAACCACGGCCCAGCACCGAGTCCACGCGCCAGGTCCAAGCACCAAGCAGAGCACCCATGGCCGTGTGCCACATCTGAGCACCGAGTCCACCCACCATGGCCACGGTGCATGGCTGAGCACCAGTGTCCACTCACCATGTCCGAGCACCATGTCTGAGCACCAGTGTCCACCCACCACATCTGAGCACCGAGTCCACCCATCATGTCCATGGTGCATGGCTGAGCACCGTGCCCGAGCACCAATGTCCACTCACCATGTCCATGCACCAGCGTCCACTCACCATGTCCAAGCACCATGTCCATGCACCGATGTCTGAGCACCAGTGTCCACCCACCATGTCCGAGCACCAATGTCCACTCACCATGTCCACACACCCTGGTGCAGCACCAGTGTCCACACGTCATGTCCAAGCACCACGTCCATGGTGGCATGGCTGAGCACCGTGCCCGAGCACCAATGTCCACCCACCATGTCCGAGCACCAATGTCCATGCACCATGTCCGAGCACCAATGTCCACCCACCATGTCCGAGCACCAATGTCCACCCACCATGTCCGAGCACCAATGTCCAAGCATCATGTCCGAGCACCGCGGTCAAGCACCATGTCCACACATCATGTTCACAGCTGAGCACCACGTCCATGGTGCATGGCTGAGCACCATGCCCGAGCACCATGTCCATGCACCATGTCCACACATCGCATCCGAGCACCGTGTCCGAGCACTGTGGTCAAGCACCATGTCCACACATCGTGTCCGAGCACCATGTCCACACATCGCGTCCGAGCACCGTGTCCGAGCACTGTGGTCAAGCACCATGTCCACACATCGTGTCCGAGCACCACAGCAGTGCACCGTGCCCCAGCACCATGTCCATGCACCAAGTCCAAGCACCAAACACAGCACCATGTCCACGCACCACATCCAAGCACCGTGCCCGAGCACCACGTCCATCATGTGTGGCCATAACCAGGACCAAGCACCATGTCCACGATGGGTGTCTGAGCACCGTGTCCGAGCCCCCCTGTCCAAGCACCCATGTCCAAGCACCCCTGTCCGAGCACCCCTGTCCGAGCAGCACGTCCATCATGCGTGGCCATCACCGAGACCGAGCACCATGTCCACAATGGGTGTTCAAGCACCATATCCGAGCACCCCTGTCCGAGCACCACGTCCATCGTGCGTGGCCATCACCATGTCCGAGCACCATGTCCACGATGGGTGTCTGAGCACCGTGTCCGAGCCCCCCTGTCCGAGCCCCCCTGTCCGAGCACCCCTGTCCGAGCACCCCTGTCTGAGCACCATGTCTGAGCACCCCTGTCCACGATGGGTGTCCGAGCACCCCTGTCCAAGCCCCCCTGTCCAAGCACCCCTGTCCAAGCACCATGTCCGAGCACCACGTCCATCGTGTGTGGCCATCACCGTGCCCGAGCACCGCGCACCACTCCGAGCACACTGCCGAGCGTCAGTCCGAGCACCGCGTGGAGCGCCGCGTCCGAGCGCCGCGTCCGAGCACCACCGCGCAAGGTGTGGCCGAGCACCGTTCCTGAGCACCACGTCCGTGATGGAGGGCCGAGCACCGAGCCTGAGCACCGAGTCCAAGCACCGCACCTACGACGCGTGACCGAGCGCCGCGTCCGAGCGCCGCACCCACCGCGTGCGGCCGAGCGCCGCGGCCGAGCGCCGCGACCACGCACCTGGCCGAGCCCCAGAGGTCACCTCCGAGCACCTCATCCCGGGACCGCGCCCGGATCCGCAGGGAACGGCTCCACCACGACCCCGGCACACCTCGGACGCGGCGCCTCTTTCAGTTTGCATAAACCCAACCGGCTCCCGGCACGCCTCGAGCTGTCGCTCCGGAAAAGTAAACTTCCTTCTTAACGACATTGCTTAATGTTGGTTGGTTTTTTTCTTTTTTTTATATCTTGGTTCCTTAATTTGATATATACATTAGTAGCACCTCAGCGAGATGGAATCAGGCAGAAGCGTGATACAGTTTGTTAAAACACCATAGCACCGTTTGTATTACAAGATTTCATTTAATAAAAATATGCCTTATAGAGCCCACAAAGCGTACTCCAGTATTAAAAGGAAAAAAAATCAGCAATTGAGGCACCTCAGGGATTCTGGTTTCCTTCTCCTTCCCATGCCTCATCTCGAGAGCATCGAGATGGGAGGGGGGGACCCAAACTGCACCCCCCGTTTCCTGCCCGAGGCGAAGCATCGCGGCCAGAAAAAACCGAAGCGGGACCAAGGAGCCGGCCGGGGGCTCCCCGCGTCGAGCCCCCCCTGGGGTTTCCACCACGGCTGTTCTAGCACCATTGCGGCCACGACCTGCTGCAAAAATCAGGTCCCCACATCCCACTCATCGAGAACATCCCTCCCTCCCCACCGAGCTCCACGAGCCCCGCGGCTTCGGCACGAGCGCGGCCGCCGGGACGGGTAAAGGGGAAAAAGATTTTGCTTGGAAACAGCCTCTCAGCAGCAAGGGGTAAAGAGCTGTGCATAGATTTCGAGTTTGTGTAGAAGTCTGAAGCGTGCTAATTTGTAATGACTGAGAGTTGAGGTAGGTTAGACGTTTATGTAGTGTAAAAACGTGAGACTGCAGCAGTTCTCGCTCCCCGACCCGCGGCGCCGGCAGCTCCCCGCTCTCCCAGGCTGAACCCGCCGGAGCCGACGCCGCGCCGGACCGACCCCTCCCTGCACCAAAATAAAAACCTCTGAGGAAGCAGGACTTAGACAGGTTACACGGACCATCGGCTTCTCCGAACGCTCCTTCTCCTCCTGACGCTCGCCCCGCCGGGCAGAGCTCCAAGGCACCCCCGTCACGCCAGCCAGAGAGCCCGGGCGACGCCAACCGGGCCGGCACCCGAATCCAGCCCGGCACCCGAATCCAGCACCCAAATCCTGCACCAGAATCTGGCCCTGGCACCTGAATCTGGCACCGGAATCTGGCCCTGGCACCCAAATCCTGCACCGGAATCTGGCCCCGGCACCCGAATCCGGCACCCAAATCCGGCCCCGGCACCCGAATCCGGCACCGAAATCTGGCCCCGGCACCCGAATCCAGCACCGGAATCTGGCCCTGGCACCCAAATCTGGCACAGGAATCTGGCCCCGGCACCCAAATCCGGCACCCAAATCCGGCCCCGGCACCTGAATCCGGCACCCGAATCTGGCCCCGGCACCCGAATCCAGCACCGGAATCTGGCCCCGGCACCCGAATCTGGCACAGGAATCTGGCCCCGGCACCCGAATCTGGCACAGGAATCTGGCCCTGGCACCCGAATCCGGCACCGGAATCTGGCCCCGGCACCCGAATCTGGCACAGGAATCTGGCCCTGGCACCCGAATCTGGCACAGGAATCTGGCCCTGGCACCCGAATCCGGCACCGGAATCTGGCCCCGGCACCCGAATCCGGCCCCGGATGGGCCGGGTCCCCTCTCCACGCTCCCAACCACAGCGACACGGCGGGTCCCCGGCATCGCACCCCTAAAATCTGACTTGCCGTTGACTCTTACAATCCTGATATGCTATTGGGTATTTATAAGAAAAGCGGGAATAGCTCGTTGAGTTTCCTTGTCGAATATACGCGATTTTACAGATTACGGTTAAAAAACGAACCCCCCCCCCAAAAAAAAAATATAAAAATTAAAAAAAAAATTAATTAATGATGAAGGACGGACGAAGCATGTTAAATATTCTGCCAGTATTTACAGTTCTCCCACGATAATCTTGTTTAAAACATACTGCTTCAAGTTGGGGGGAGTGGGGGGGAGAGGAAAGAGGGGAGTTGTTTGCTTTTTAAGTTTCGCTTTCATTTTTTTTTTTTT